TTGAAAGTTTGAAAGTTTGAAAGCTTGAAGGTTCGAAAGATTGAAAGTTTGAAAGTTTGAAAGTTTGAAGCTTTGAATGTTTGAAAGTTTGAAAGTTTGAAAGTTTGAGACTTTGAAAGTTTGAAGCATTGAATGTTTGAAAGTTTGAAAGTTTGAAAGCTTGAGACTTTGAAAGTTTGTAGCTTTGAAGCTTTGAAAACTTGAAAACTTGGAAACTTGAAACTTTGAAACTCCAAAGTATTTACCTGCTGCGTCTCCTTCGCTTTCGCCTGCGGGAGGACCTTCGTCTCCTGGAACCACTGCCAGATCGCCGCCTCCTGTGTGATCTTCGGCTCTTACAAGGCTCCTGCACCCCATAATCATCCAATTTAATCTGCGTTCGATGTGGGCTTCTGTCCCTATCCCGTGAAACAGCTCTATCCGAATTCCGACCATCCCTTACGTAATTGCCGTCGCTCACAAGATCCGAGGACACGCGTAGCACTTTGTACGCAGTATCCTTTGGTATTAGGTAACCCGATTCTACACCGAAGTCTAAGGCCTTTTGTATATACATTTTCATCCTGTCTATCCCTGAAAAAAAACAACAAGCATCTATAAAAAAATTTGATAATAGAACAAGTGTATTACATTCGTAAGCATTTAAATCGAAACTGATGGTATATTTACAGATAAAAGCAAACGTGAATGTAATATTATTTAAATTAATACGTTCCAAACCTCTATTAGAATACTAAGAAATGGTAACTTCTAAAATACAATACAATTATAACCACCTAAACACAATAAAACATATCCACGACTATCAAAATAATAATCCATCTATCATTGTCCATATAATAAACACTGCCAGATACAAAACAATCCGCCGAATCTAAACAATTCTAAATTCCCTGCAAAGGACAAAGGCAACAAAACTGGGTCGAATATCCGTACACGATAATTAATTTCATTAATTCCCAAAGCAACGCTAACCTCCATCATTGTCCACATAATAAACACTGCCAGACACAAAACAATCCGCCAAATCTAAACAATTCTAAATTCCCTGCAAAGGACAAAGGCAACAAAACTGGGTCGAATATCCGTACACGATAATTAATTTCATTAATTCCCAAAGCAACGCTAACCTCCATCATTGTCCACATACTAAACACTGCCAGACACAAATAATCCACCAAATATAATTCTACCTTTCCCTGCAAAGGACAAACACAACGAAACTCGGTCGAATGTTCCAACACGATAATTAACACGTTGAACGCCGCACGAATTCATGGTACAAAATACTTGAAATAGAAGAAATATAATATTAAATCATTTGATCGAGTTACATTGTTATTATTGTAGGTTCATCTAGCTGAATGTCGCCACATTAGTTAGCATTATTTATAATATAGAAATCTTTTCAAATAATCATGGTTTAATTCAGTAAACTATAGTAATTCGATTTGGTTGGGGGTCACCGGTGACCCCCGTGGCATTCAACGTGTTAATTACAATAATTCCCAAAGCATCGCTACCCTTCATCATCGTCCACATACCGAACACTGCCAGATACAAAACAATCCCCCAAATCTAAACAATTCTAAATTCCCTGCAAAAGACAATGGCCACGAAAGTTGGTCGAATGTTCGGACACGATAATTAATTACAATAATTCGCGAAGTAACGCTAACCTTCACCGCCGCGCTTGCACATGCAGGAAGATTTAGCGGCATCCCTGTCCGTGTAGCCGCGTTTGATCCTGTGCGCCTTGGAATTCTTGTTAGACTCCTTCCGTTTGTTAACCATATTTCTAGTGCCGGCGACTTGGGAATTCAGGGAATGCCGGAGCTCTTTGCGGCGTTTCGGCGAGTGGGCGGTGTCCTGGTCGTAGGCAGGCGGTGTCCTCGGGTCACCCGGTCTGCCGCCTAGGCTAAGGAACTTGTAGACCAGCGCCGCGATGTTCAGCTTACGGCGTCGGCCTTCTGTAACGCGATCATTTTTACATCGCCAAGCGGAACGACCTCTGTAACGCAGCGTTCCTCCTTCCGCTCCGTGAAAACCTCCGATTCGCTCCCCATCGGGGTCATTGTGGAACTCCAGCAACCGCAATTTCCAGAATAATCAAAATTGATTTGTTACGTTTGGTAACTCGTTCTTTGCGCTTGGATCTTTGAACGTGCCGGAGAACAACGCGTGCTTGTGAAATGGTGAATTGAGCTCGCGATTCAAGGCGTTCTCGGGCGATTCAAATAGTTCTAACAAATGCACCTACGATATTAACCCTTAGCGGACGAAGATTCTTTGAAGTATACAAAACGTTCAACAGATGAAGCTAAATTACATATCGATTGCTTAAATAATGAAAAAAAGGGAAACTGCGTAGTAACCTCTTGGTGTTTCAGTAATTAAATCGTTTGTTCGTTATTTAGTGCTCCGACTATGAAAATTCGATCTCTCTGAAATGTCGACACGCGTGCGCAAAGAGTTAAAAAGGTCCGCAACAGAAGCTAAATAATATATCTGTAAATGTTTCGTGCACTAGATTATTTACGCGCAATGACTGTTCATATTATATTAACCCTTTGCGGACGAACGTCGACATTTCGATGGAATGAAATGTTCAGATTTGGAAGAGCAAATCGTTAACAAATGAAATTCATGTAACAGCAAGAGATGAGCACATAGGTTCGTCTTTTCCTATTAATTAAGCAATCGATGTATAATGTAACTTCATCTGCAGAAAATTTTCTACATTGCTAAGAATCTTCGTCCTCAAAGGGTTAACCCTTTGCACTCGGAAGCTTACGAACTGTATTGATTTTTTAAATAATATTCAAGTTTTTTTTTTAATTTTATATATTTTGATATTGTTTCGTAATGTTTTCGGTGCTTTGTAACGTATACAGCTATTCTCAACGATATGTCCCTTAAAAATATTTTGTTACAAGAATCAACGTGTACCACGTGTGGTACACGTGGCACTAAACGTGTTAAGCTTAATGCCAGTAATTCAGTTTACGAAAAAGATATAAACATTTTAAAGCAAAGGCTACAAATTTTCTGGAGCAGCGCCCCCAGTAATTTTAGCTGCGAGCCGCCACTGCACCCCGCTCGCACTTGCGAGCTTCACGCTAACAGGAAGCTCGCGAAACCGATTGTCCAATGGGTCGAAACAATTGACATTTTTGAAAGTGAAATTTTGTGCGACGAGAGGGATAAAGGTTAAAGTGACTTTTAATGCGAGCACACGAACGTTCAACTTTGCGGCTTCCAGATTGGAAGAGCATGGGAAATATTCCGCTCTTTTCGAATTTGCGGGTACGCCTGGCTAACGGGATGGTTTCGAAAGCTGGCAGCCGAGGCGACTTAAATTTGGAAGCCAAAATTGACGTTGACCTTAACGGATTATCCTCGAGCACCCACTAAATTTAGCTTTGTAATTAGATTCGCTTAAAGGGGACATATTAGAAGATTAAACCGTGTATATTCGCAACGACGGAAGATGAAATTTTGGGATTCCAACCTGAAGCTTGTGACCGTGACAAGATTCGGCCCTGAGTGCCTTAAATAAATGCGTTCTAATTTCGTTCGGTGACGTTAGGGCGACAGATAAGCTTCTTAAATAATAAACGGATTTGTAGAATGCATATATGTTTTCTCGAAGGAGAAAAGCGCGAAAACGTTTACCGGGCGAACCTCGGAAGAAACCGACGCGGAGAGATGGGAAAGTGGTAGTTACTTCGTTAAATATAGCGAGGGAAAGGATAATCGAGCGACGGACGGCTCGATTTGTAGAATCCGCGGACGGCTAAAAAGTCGGTCAATAACGACCCGTAATCGAGACCTTCTCGGGCGCGGAAAAACATTCGGCCGAATTACGGAAGCGTCGCGGAAGATTAAATTAACTACGTCTAGGACATTTCAATGAGATTAAACCGGCTACGTCGTTTCGTTAGTGTTTAATTAAAAGCTTTTTAATCCGTTCGTCGGGATTTTCGTCGCTGGAATTTAATTACATTTCGGACACCGTGAACTTTCACTGCATTCCCGCTTTGCTTCTCGTTTATAGGGGCCCTTGTTCGTTTTCTTTCGCGAGGTACGCGCTCGACGAAAGCGTCATTTGTGAAATTAAACGAAAGAGTCGTTGGATCGACGTTTTCTTCTGTTGCAAAATGATCACTCACTGATCTTGCGGTGGCTTCGCGCGTTTGGACGTCCCCTTAGATTCGCCATTTTTTGCTTACTGTCGATTTCGTAATTTCTTCGGGCTTCAGCGTCTTCGATGGCGCTCGCCGGTTAACAAGAATTTCCCGATCGGCCGTGGTACGGAATTTTGTCTAACTTTTGTCCAGGATATCGATGGAAAGGAGCGAAACACGATCGGCGACTGCCGATCCGTCCGTTGCCTTCCTTCTGCTCTTTTCCGACGCGAAACAAGGAATCCGCGCGCTTCTTCGCTGTTCCTTCGCTTTAGCGGCTCGCGCGGTAGGCGTTGCCTTCGCCTCTCATGTTTATTTACCCGGTTCATTATTTGAAGCGAGATACGAATCACGTGGCAATTGGTTCATAATTCTATAAACATATTTCTGCCTTGTTCGAAAATAGTCATCGCCAATTAACTGACATCGCGTGGCTGCATTTCCTACGAAAACGCTAGTTGCGTTGGAAAATAATCGCGTTCTATCGCATTTATTTTTCAATCTTAACCGTTCGAATACTAAACGGATTTTCTGAATATATAATGTACGAAAAAGAATAACAGTAGCTGTCTAATTAGATTACAAATATCGTTACAAAAAAGTATAGAAAAATCACATTTATCCAATATTCACTTTGATTCATTTCTCGAAGAACGTAGTAAGAAAATTATAATCGACACCGATAAACAGCGGAATAAGCGAATTCAGACGATTTCCAATTTATTCGAAAACACCGATTTCTCCATTGACACGCATCGAAATGATCGACAGTGCAGAACGCTTTAAAGCTCTTCGCTGCCTTTATTCTCACGGTGCAATCTCAAATTTCTCGAAGCCTACAAAGAATGTATATCCATCGAAATGACAGTAAAGCGAGTAGTAAAAATATAATCGGTTCGTTAATGTGCGTCCTCGATCGGGTTCTTGTCGTTCTCGTCGTTGGTCGGCAGTTCCATCCGTTCCTCGACTTCCCGCGTCGGATTCCCCGGGTGCGCATTGGCGTCCGCCAGACCGTCCTCGCTGGATCCCGAATTTCGTCGCGCCGTCACGATTTTCCGAGTCGCATCGTTATCGCTGGACTTCGTGCTATCTTCCTCCTCGTCCGTTAAATCCTCCCGGCTCCTCGGAATATCGCCTTTCGGTTCCCTGCTCGCGTACGTAGATTTCTTCGGGCGATTCCTCCGAATCGGTTGTCTCTCGACCACCTCGTCCTTCTGTTTAGTAGACCGACCCTTTCCCCGCAGCGTCTCGCTCCTGCGCGTGACGGAGGACTTCTGAATTACTTGTCCCCTGAAATGCACACGTTGATTCTCAGTGCGATGGAAATCTTTTTCCATGGGAAATCTGAATAGTGCGTTTAACCGATTGAGCGCTAGGAGCGCTATAGCGCTTTTCTTGTGTCGCGAGAGTGGTTATCTAATCAGATCACAAATATGTTATTACAAGAAAATATCAGAAAATTTATTCAAATAAATTTACTTTGATTTATTTCTTGAGAAACGTAGTAAGAAAATTATAATTGATACTGATAAACAGTTTTGGCACAACACGAGAAGAGCGCTATAGCGCTCTATTAGTCACTACTGATTAATATTAATATTACTCATTGTAACACGTATTATTTTATAGTATTAATATTGTAATTATTAGTATAACATTAATAATATTATGTTATAGCATTAAAATTATAACTGCTATAACATTAATAATATTATGTAATAGTATTAATATCCTAATTATTGGTATAACATTAATAATATTATATTATAGCATTAAAATTATAACTACTATAACATTAATAATATCATGTAATAGTATTAATATCCTAATTATTAGTATAACATTAATAATATCATGTCATAGTATTAATATAATAATTATCAGTATAATATCAATCCTATTAATATTAACACTAACAATTACATCAGCATTCGACTAACCCAAAAACATCTCGCAAGACCTTCTCAAAACCTCAAAGATAATGTTACCAGAAATCTTTCGCAAAATGGTACTAACTTCTTCTTCGCCAGCTCTTTTCTCCTTTTGTTCGCCGGCGAGTTCTCCTGTCGGGCGACCTCCGTGTCCTTCTTTCTCTGGCCGGCGTAGTTCAAGTTGAAGTTCATCCCCGGGTATCTAGTCGCGGAAGTCTTTCTCCGTTTCCGCGGGACCATCCGGTCCGGCGATGCTTCGCGGCGCGGCATTCTTTTGGCGGGCAAGGGCGGGGTCGGCCGACGGCGCTCCTTACGTTCGGCAAACGACAGATCATCCTCGCCTTGTCTGGCCTTTCGCCGTCTCCTACGTGACTCCGGGTCGCTTCTCCTGGTTTCCGCGAGCGTCGGCGACACGCGAATCACTTGACCTTGCGGATCCTCCGGGATTAAGTATCCAGACTTCACGCCGAACGAGAGAGCCTTGCGTATGTACTTCTTGGCTTGCCGTTTGCCTGCGACACAACGATGCTTTTAACCCTTTGCACTCGGATGTTCCTTACTAGAAATATTTAACAGTTCTTTACGAGGCGAAGACGATATTCTTCGGGACTAACTCTAAGGGGAATCGCAAGCGCGTCGAGGAACAAAGCTATTTTATCCCAATATTTCACGTATCGGGGTATTGTAGAGTTTGATGTTAAATATCAAATTTTAGTTTTACTGCGTCAAAGGTTTCTAATGTGATTTGACCAGTTAACTGTGGAATTCAGTTGGAAAAACCTGTCGTTCTGCGCGCAATAAAATCGAAAAATGGAGCGTGTATTCGTCGAACGCAGGACGGATGCACGTAGAGTATATTTTAATGGAAGATCAAAGCGAAACAAAGAATTACACGTTTATGTGAAAATATAGAGAATTCGTCGCTGAAAGAATTGGCATCGTGTCAAGCTTTACGATGACGTGTATACTCGTCGAACACAGTTAACTGGTTAACAGACGGAAATGTCATTGAGTTGTGTTTAAATGAAATATTATTGTTCTTGTCAGCAATTTGTGTGGTTTATTCTGAATCTAGACATAGAAGGAGCGTGGAATGTTTTCTTTTACTGGTGCATTGTCAAGGATAAATAGTTCTAACAAATGCACCTACGAAATTAACCCTTTGCGGTCGAAGATTCTTTGAAATGTAGAAAACCTTCGACAGATGAAGCTAAATTATATATCGATTGCTTAAATAATAGCAGAAACGGAAACTACATGCTAATCTCTTGCTGTCCAAGTAATTAGATCATTCGCCTGCGACTCAGTCTTCCAAATATGAACGTTTCGTCTCGCCGAAATGTCGACGTTCGTCAGCAAAGGGTTAAATCGTAAGGCAAGGGGTTAATGGGCCATCTAGACGAGAGGTTCTTGATACACGGGGATCAAGTGCCTGCGTCGTCGCGCGGCACGTTACATGGAAAATATTTACACTTTCTTGGGGAATTGTAGGTTTTACTGGCGATTCGTTGGAAAATAATCAAAATTGATTTGTTACGTCTGGTAAATTGTTCTTTGCGCTTGGATCATTGAACGTGTCGGAGAACAACGCGTGATTGTAGAATGGTGGATTGAGCTCGCGATTCGTTGGAAAATAATCGAAATTAATTTTTTACGTTTGCTGCTTGTTCTTTGCGCTTGGATCTTTGAACGTGTCGGAGAACAACGCGTGATTGTAGAATGATGGATTGAGCTCGCGATTCAAGGAAAAATAAGAGGCAAAATTAATTTGTTACGTTTCATTAGCATTTCTCAGAGCTTGCATCCTACGAAGAACAACGCGTGATTGTAGAATAATGGATCGAGCTCGCGATTCAAAGGAAAATACTAATGAAAATTAATTTCTTATATTTCATTATCATTTCCTTGAGCTCGCATCTTTCAATGTGTTTTCGAATAACGACGAGTTCTCATAGAATAACAGGTTAAACTCTTTCATTGGAAGATAATAATTAAAATTAATTTATTAAATATTCTAACCTTTTCCCTAGGCTTAGATTTTTTAATATATTCCGAAGAGGCTTTTCAAAATCTTTAGTTCACGCTACAGCCACAGAGTTTCATTTTATTCATTAAAATGCAAATCATTGCGAGTGAGAGTAATTCTTTTCTATGAATTCTATTGCAGCGAGGTTTTCGAAGAAACAGAATCATCGAAACTCCTACCTTCCTCGATGCCAGCCCTAATGTAATTGTTGATGATCTGCACGAGGGATTTTTTCTTGAGCAACGCCCTCGTCTTATCGATCGAATTCGCGAGGCTAATCGGTTCCACGGAGAGATTCGATACGCTACTGTTCGCGGAGCCAGAGGTCCACGAGCCATTTGTGGTCTCCATTACCCTCGACAGGTTCTCCATAGAAGTTGTGGCGGATTTTGTGTACCCGGACTCAGTGACGGACGCGGAGCTTTCGTGAACGGACGAGGTGTCGTACGATGGCTCCCTGAAGTCCTGATATTTCCGAATTTTTTCGCGATAGCCGCCTCTGTCGTTGGACCTCCTTCCTATGTGCTCCGACAGCGGCATCGTTGCTGGCGAACAACGTGAAAACTTCAATTATTTTATCATTTTCGATATAATATAATAGTATTATTCGTATAATTATATACTATTCAAATATATTATTCAATATAATAGTACTATTCATATAATTGTGTACTATTCAAATATATTATTCAATATAATAGTATTATTCATATAATTATATATTATTCAAATATAGTATTCAATATAATAGTACTATTCATATAATCGTATACTATTCAAATATATTATTCAATATAATAGTGTTATTCATATAATTATATATTATTCAAATATAGTATTCAATATAATAGTACTATTCATATAATTGTACATTATTCAAATATATTATTCAATATAATAGTATTGTTCATATAATTGTATATTATTCAAATATAGTATTCAATATAATAGTATTATTCATATAATCGTATACTATTCAAATATATTATTCAATATAATAGTATTGTTCATTTAATTGTATACTATTCAAATGTATTATTCAATATAATAGTATTGTTCATATAATTATATATTATTCAAATATAGTATTCAATATAATAGTACTATTCATATAATTGTATACTATTCAAATCGTATAATTCAATATAAAAATATTATTCAATATATATATATCATTCAATAACACTCGACTAGTATCTAAGCAAAAATAAAAACAAATGGAACGAGAAAGATTTATTTAACACTAGGTTTACGTCAATTCGACTCATACTGAATTTCATAAGCATCATTTGGTAAATGTTCGGGTCGATTTTTATCAACGCAGTTATGCCAATGTATATCCTAATTGTCTACTCTCGAACCTCTAATTTCTAAGATTGAAATTCACGGATCACAATTTTTCTAAGAACAACAGAACAAACTGTACAGTAAACGTCAGTAAATCTAGCGTTAAAACACGTCGTTGGCTTCTGTCCAAACACGAGAACGAGAGTAAAGATCGAAATACAAGTGAAATAAATTGTAAACGATATCCCGATAAAAACTATCTAGAAACTAACGTTGGAATATTATTATCACTACGAATCACATAAATTGCGAATTCCATGAATAAATATTTCCAACCGTATTGCACGTACAGATCGATAAAATCTCAGATATAGATGGTATATTAAATTAAAGCGGAGAAACTTAATACACAATCTATTCTCCTTCGCGAAGCAATTTGCCTGTCTGCCGATCGCGGAGAACAACCTAGCCATGGAAGACATTTACCGTTAGCCAGGTTAAAGTCTTCCAATTCTACTCTTCGCCAGAAGGGCAAGAAACTTTTGACATTAAAAGGAGGATCAGTATAGTTCGCGTCGCCCACAACGACAACCTCGACAGTGAGTAACACTCGGTAACAGTTTATTAACACTTTACAGAGAACGTTTAACACTAGCACTACCAAATGGGTCAAATTGACCCATTCCTAAATTCTCCTTTCCCAATTATTAACACTAGGTTTACGGAACTAACGGAACTCTATAGGGACTTTAACCGTTTGTGTTGTGCCAAAATTGCGGAGAGCGCGGAGGCGCTTCCGTTTATCAGTATCAATTATAACTTTCTTACTATGTTCTTCAAGAAATAAATCGAAGTATATTTATTTGAATAAATGTTATCTTCTGATATTTTTTTGTAATAACACAATACTTGTGATCTCATTAGATGACTACTCTTATTAATTCTTTTGCACACACCCAATCACTTCCGCATTTTCGGTAAATATCCACAAAAGTTGTTTAGCATCCAAACGGTTAAATCATAGAGAATAAGGAACCTATGTACTAATTTCTTGTTTGAATAGTTCAATCATTCCTTTGCAACTTGGCGTTCCAAACGTGGAAGTTCGGTCTCGTCGAAACGTCGACGTCGGTTCGCAAAGGGTTAAAAGTTCCCCCGCGACGTGAAATCATTTCATGCGACACGGATGCTCGGCGTAATAACAGAAATCGAGCACCTTGGTTATGTTTGTCGGTGTTCAGCAGCCTGTAGACTAATTCTGGCACATTGATGGCCCGATGGGTCTGCGCTCGACGCGAAATTTCGGGCCGTTTACGGTGTTGCCGATAAGGATAACGCGGCTGTATTATCCGCTCCGTGCCGCCCATGTTCCTTGGTTTCCTCTTTCGCGGCGGCGCCATTATTCGGCGGTTTTATTCCCTTTTCTCCGTGCCGTCGGGGGAATTCCTGCTGAAACAACGGAGTCGTGGCTCGGCGTACAAAAGAAAAACGCCCGATTTTCTGCATGCGATGCGGTTAACAGTCACGTCGCCGTTTCCTCGATATCGAATCGGCCGTGATCGATACCGCCGCGTCGCCGAATTCAGCGACCTCGTTATTTATAAAAGAACTTTCCATTCCATTGCTCGGCCCTGGTAAAAAAGGAACTATGTAATTGAAGAGTTCCTCTCGGAAACACCGACAATGCTAAATTGATAGATTCTCTTTTCATTAGCATTCCGCGGTATAGAAGTTAAGCTCGATTTTCCTTTTAAGTAGTCGTTAGCGATATGCGTAATTAAATGGAGGATCTTTATGAATTTAACATTCTGTGCATTTTGTTCGTTGAATGTTATATCGATCTCTATATTGTCCTGTTCTTCAATTTCTTCCTTATTTCCACTAAGAAAAATTCATCTAATTCTTTTTTGTAGCTAATTATTTGACTAGTCGAGGAACTGTGCCGATTAACATATTGTACGCGAGAAACATTTTATTTCATTTATATTTTACGCCAAAAGTAAAAGTTCAATTTTTGCGTATAATTGAACGTATTTGCAATCGAAGATCCCGGAAAGATATTGAATAATAAATGAGTTCATAATCGGTATACGTTGAAACGAGCAAAATGGCCGCGTAATGTGTTGAAAGAATTTATAGTTTATATATTTTATATATGTTCTTCTGCAATTTTCCACTTCCAAATTTTCCATGGAACCACAAAGAACCGCAGTCTACCGATAACTCTGAGAAATCGCGGTACTACAGCATAACGATGGAATAGATTCGGTAACGTGCCTCTCGCTCGTGGAAAATTTGAAGTTTCGCCGCTTACAATCTTTTCGACGCACGGCTGCTCGTCGATTCAGTTCCCCGTGATCGAACTTCGATATCGCGGCTCGGTATTCATTGATTTTTTAACGAGCTTCCGCGACCGTCCAACCCCGCGTTCCTGCTAAAAATATTTCCCCGTCCGCCTGGCGGAGATCTATCGTGAATTAGTAAATCTGGATCGGAATTTCATTATCGGCCGCAACGATTCTCGACGCTTCGAGCGTCCGGCTCCGATACATTCCGCGACAAAGCTCGTCGGATTAACGGAGATCCGAAACGAGTAGACTGGAATTTTGTATTTATTTAATGGACCTCTCCCAGAGCTTTTTTGGATTCTGCTGTGACGGAGATCATTGGGATTACACGTCGTAAGTGTCAGATTTCATTATTACAGTTCCCCATGTCAGATTTCAGAATTTCATAAGTCTGATGTCGACAGTTCTCGTGTTTCTGGGAGACTATTGATCGTAGAGTCAGAAATGATTCAGAAATATAGAAGTCTCAGATTTTATTCAAATAAAGCTCCTTAACTTCTATAACAACTGAACTCGAGAATTCAACGAAAAAGATATACTTCTGTAGCACATCTCAGGAAACATTTTCAAAAGCGTTTCCCCGGAGAACTGTAGTTGTAGACAGAGTTACTAATTCATAGTGAATATTCATAATAGTTGCCAATCGATAGTTCATACGCCACGAGTACTTCTCTGGAGGAAACGTAAAGACTCTCGATCGAAGCGATATTTCTATTACCTCGTTAATAATGCATGAATCATCTCTCGAGCCATCGCAATCCAGTTTCATGAGCCGGCTTGTCTCTCGCGTCGAGTGTTACAATCCCGTAATGCCAAAGATCGAATCCCCTGGCCGGTAATTCTTCAAAATCGAATCCCGCCGTCTTCCGAAATCCATTGAACCCGTTGCTCGTCGCAATTACATGCTCGACGGGCCGCGACCCGACCGTTTCCATAAAATCTTCGACGGCTGGGGCTCCGTGATCCGTTTCCCCGGAAGTTTCCCAACAAATCCTGCTTAGCAGGTGTTGCTGAAGTTCACCGTTTCGTCGAACACATCGCGGACCTCGATTTATCGTAGTTTGATTGTTTTCCCGCGGGCAGTTGCCGAACGATCAAACGATCCTCGTTTTCAACGCCGTTTTCTGCATCGATCACACGAGCGACGATGTTGTCTCCGCCATTAGGAAACTTTCGCGTGGTAATTCCGATCGTTAAATTAACCCTTGAACTCTGGAGATGCCGGTCAACCAAATTGATTCGATATAGCAGAATTGTTGTAATCATTAAACCTTGTATAATGCAGTAATACGTGGAACATTGAAAGAAAGGTTTTCTACATTTCAAAGAATCTTCGACCGCAAAGGGTTAATTTCGTAGGTGCATTTGTTACTATTTATCCTTGACAATGCACCAGTAAAAGAAAACATTCCACGGTCCTTCTACGTCTAGATTCAGAATAAACCATACAAATTGCTAACAAGAACAATAATATTTCATTTAAACTTAACTCAATGACATTTCCGTCTGTTAACTAGTTAACTGTGTTCGACGAGTATACGAGTTAATTACACGCTCTACACCACCGCAGAACGCTAAACTAACGAATTCGAGTTCTTTCGTGGTTTCGGATTAACGTTGACTTCCGTTTCTTTCCGGCCAGACCGTCCAATAAAACTTCAATCGTGAAGGAAAATGGTGCATGTCCGACTGGTTCGGTTCTTTCTTATCGAGAACGTCGGTGGCTGCCGCGTTGTCGAAAGGGGAAACTGGTTTTCAAGGTTTCACGCGATCGACTTGGGGATGACCATTCAACGCTCGGATAAAGTTTTTCGCTTCGACGGTGAAGGCCGTCTTCAAGGGATGAGATCGTGTTTATCAGAAATCAAGGGACATCATCGGCGCAATTGGATGTTTATCGTGCAC